AAGCAAAAAATATGTCGATGTCCTCTTTAACACTTTTCACATTTGCATACGTTTTCCCGTTAAGATGGTGTTATAGCGAACGAAAAAGATGGTAATATGATGGTGCCATATCTGGAGAATATGGTGGATGGGGAGAACTTCTCAACCCAACTCTATAATCTTTTGTTGCGTCAAACGTGTCACATGTGGACGTGCATTGTCGTGGATAAAAACACCTTTCCGACTGACGTTTCTGATGAAGGGCTTGATTTAAACATTACGGTTGCTGACTATAGATCTCTGCATTGATAGTTCGCTGTGGATTGAGGAGTTTGAAATGAATTACTTCTTTGATGTCCCAAATGCAAAGCATCACTTTCTGCGATTGGAGTCCAGGTTTGGGGGTCGGGAGTGGTTTTTGTCTAGGACTGGGTCATTGTTTTTTGCGTTTAGTATTCGCATAGAGAATCCATTTTTATCACCGGTGACAATTCTGTCCGAAAATGGTTCACGCGCATAACGTGCCAGAAGAGCCGAAGCAACGTCCACACGTTGGAAACGATGATCATCGGAGAGTTCACGAGGCACCCAAACACCTTTTTTTATGGAGTTTTCCTATATTCTTTAGATGTTTACCCATTGTTTCATGAGAGACATGCAATTTCAGGGCCAATTCACGAGTGTGTTGCCTTGGGTTATACTAAACAAGCGTCTTCAGAGCATCAATATCAATTCCAAAATGCCGGCCCCTGCCATCACACTTTTATAAGGCTAAAGTCATCTGAACGAAATTTGCTGAACCATCGTTGACACTTACGAACGTTCAAAACATTTCCATAAACTTCTTTGACATTCTTTGTGGCTAGAGAGGCGTTATTTCCCTTCTTATATTCAAACAGCATTACATACTGAATGCGTGTCTCATCGTGTGCCTTCACCATAAAGGATTACAGTATACTAAACTTTATATATTATGTAGGCTACACTAAGGTGACGCTTAGGCGGTTCGTTTAACTATTATACGTGATGTACGTTTTTTGGTGGGTGGTTAATGAAAGTGTTCCAAAACGAGACATTAATTTCTTGACACCCTAATACATTAAACTCAAATGTGTTTAGTAACATATACACTGTAACAACTTATATATTTTTTACATTTACTACTCTCCGTGCTAGAAAAACTTATTTATGTTTTTTCTTTATTTTGATTATGATACCTACATGTGCATTATTTGTATGTTACTTTTGTTTCCAAAGTGCTGGGAAAAATGTTTCATCTCCCTTTAATTATCTAATAATTCTAGTGTGTATATTCAACATCTCCCTCCTCCAGTGGCTCACCAGTAAGACTGGGGAATTGCACTGTTAAAAATTTGGTTTCGATACTCATGGTGGGCACAGAAAAAATAGCCCATTGTGTAGCATTGTCCTAAATAATAAACAAACTATATTCGACGTTCTACAAATTGTTTATAAATACATGCACACACACACACACGCTATACACAGTGCAAGTTTACATATGATACAAAACGGCTTTTTACGATCCAAGGTCAGCAATTGCTGAGTTTCTCAATACAAAAATTAGAAAATATTGTTACGTCTCCGTTTGTTAATTAATTTTTCGTAACTTAGTTCCGACGAAACTTTAGTGACACAAGTCCTTTCTTAAATAAAACTGGTTTATTCTTTCTGAATATAACTCTACTGATACACTCAACTTCAACAGTTGCGCTATAACAAACTATAATTCACGTATCACAAGCTAGACTTCAACAATACGTCTCTCTCTGACTGCAGTTCAATTACTCATTACCTACACACATATTATTATTCCGTCACGTTGTCACCCTCTTATGTATACCAGACTACCCTATATCTAGTAATCTCCCGACAATTCACGAAGGTACAAGATATTTCCAGAAAGCAGGGGGCGTGACACTAGTCACGTGACCTCGCTGACGCAACAATATTAAGAACACAGCAGGGCC